ACTTTTTATGTCGATTTATGCATGCCCGTCCGTCCGTTCATGTATTTTTGTTAACAAAGTACATGTCGTGATCCGATTTGGATGAAATTTGGCACAGTACACTTATTTGGCCCTAGGACGTACCCTATTGAAATTGGGAAAAATCTTTTCAAATTTAGATATAGCTCCCATATATATTTTCGTCCGACTTTAGGTAAATAGTGCACCAAAGTCCCTATATATCCTTCGATTTGCACGAAATTTGGCACAGCGTACTGAATTAATTCTAGAACGATGTGTGTTAAATTTCGTGAAAATCGGTTCAGTTTTAGATATAGCTCCCATATATATTTTCGTCCGATTTTAGGTATGTAGTGGACCAAAGTCCCTATATATCTTTCGATTTGCACGTAATTTGGGATAGCGTACTAAATTAAGTCTGGAGCAGTGTTGCCAATTTAGCACTTTTAGTGCTAGATTTAGCACTTTTTAAACTCGTTTAGCACCAAAAAAAGTGATCTAGCACCTAGCACTTTTTTTAGCATTTTTTATTTTTCAGTAATTTTTTATAATTTTTGTTTCATCCCAACAAATTTTCCCGTTTTTCGATTTCATATTGACGCATTGAAATTTCCCTATGTTTCACGCGTTGAATTTGATTTTCCAATGTTAAAAAAGTGACAGTAGATTTGTAAGCAGGTACTTCATATGGTGACTATGACATTGTCTGCTAGTAGATTGTTTATTTGAAAAAACCAAATAAAGCGGTCCATTGAAATTTTCTGAAAATAAGTTTTTTAATGCACCGACCATCCTGAATGCCAAGTTAAAACCACGTAAGAGTACCGAACAGGACCAAAATAGAAAAATGTCGACAAACATATATTTTTATACCCTTCACCACACTAGGGTCAGGGTCTTATTTATTTGTGCATATGTTTGTAACAGGCAAAAGGAAACGAGATAGACACACGGTTCTTTTTGAGAATATGCATTGAATCACTTTTTAAGCCGATTTATGCATGTCCGTCCGTCTGTCCATGTTAAATTGTAAACAAAGTACAACTCGCATTTTTTATTCGAATTGGATTAAATTTGGCACAGCTCATTTATTTGTGGAAATAGGTTCAGATGTAGATATAGATTCCATATATATTTTCGTCCGATTTAAGGTAAGGCCCTATATATCCTTTCGATTTGCACGAAATTTGTGCATAGTGATTAAGCCTAGAAAGACGTGTGTTAAATTTCGTGAAAATCGGTTAAGATTTAGATATAGCTCCCATATATATTTCCGTCCGATTTAATGTAAATGGTGCACCAAAGTCCCTATATATCTTTCGATTTCCACGAAATTTGGCATAGAGTATTGAATTAAGTTTGCAATGATGGGTGGTGAGTTTCGAGAAAATCGGTCCAGATTTCGATATATGTAGCTCCCATATAAATTGTCGTGCGATTTTATGTAAATGGTGCACCAAAGTCCCTATATATTCTACGATTGGCTTGAAATTTTGCATATGGTACTGCAAAATTTCAGAAAGATCTATGTTAAAATTCATGAATATCGGTTCAGATTTAGATATAGCCGATTTTAGGTAAATAGTGCACCAAAGTCCCTTTATATCCTTCGATTTGCTAACCTCCAAAATCCCGAAATATGAAATTACAGTTACTTTGGGATAATGGGGTGCTGCCGTTAACCAGCAACCCCTAAATATGTACATATATTAATAATTTCTGATAAGGAGATTTTTTACTCAATTTGAAATATCAAATTAAAGCCAATTCGATTTTAAAACGTGTTTATGAGGGCTACGTTTAAAAGTGGACCAATGTTGATAATTTTTAGTAAGAAGACTTTCTACACAGGGAGAATCCGAAATACAAAACCGCATATTAGGTTTTAAAATGTGCCCAAAACCTTAAAAAAATCAAATATTGGGTATGGTATACACAAAAAAGACCAATATATTTAATTTCCAATACCAAATGTCCTAGGAGTAGTGCAATATATGGGCAAAATTCCAAAGCTCTGTTTTCAATATTGCGACCTCAATCGAATGGACATGGCTATGAATATTTCATTATTACATATTAACAATTTTATTCATTTAATTTTTAGCACTTTTTTCTGGCACTTTTTTAAATTTTCTAGCACTTTCTAGCATTTTTTTCAACAAAATCTAGCATTTTTTCTCAACAGAGTTTTGGCAACACTGGTCTGGAGTTATGTGTGTTAAGTTTCGTGAAAATCGGTTCAGATTTAGATATAGCTCCCATATAATTTTCGTCCGATTTTATGTAAATAGGGCACTGAATTAATTCTAGAACGATGTGTGTTAAATTTCGTGAAAATCGGTACAGATTTAGATATAGCTCCCATATATATTTTCGTATGATTTTAGGTAAATAGTGCACCCAAGTCCCTAATATCCTTCGAATTGCACGAAATTTGGATTTATATGTAAATGAAGAGTTCAAAATGTGGCCGAATGCAAAAAGCATACTGAAATAAGTGTAACCTAACATGTGACAAGTTTCCATGAAATCGGTTTAGATTTCGATATTTTGCTTAAAATTTGTTTACATAATTTTGTCCCATTGTAAGGAGCAACTCTATATCTGACCAAAATTTAGTATAGGATGCGGAATGAAATGTTTAATTTAATGTTAATGGTCCTTCAAAAATGCGACGTCTGTTAGTTGAATATACCCCGTACGACTTTACTACTTTCCTTACTGTTTTTTATTTTTTTTTTTGTGTGTCTGTCTAGAACATCATACTAAATTTTTTCCTGCGACTTCCTGCGACAATTTTTTGAAAAAATGCTAATTTGGTGTAGGAAGCTTTTTTAAGGTTTTGTTCAAATAAAATTAAAAATTTGTGAATTTTGTTGATATAATTGATCGAATATGACTTGGAATAGATCACAGAATAACATATAAAAAAACAAGTTCAAAATGTCCGTCCTAAGGTTCCAGAGTAATGGGTGTGAGTATGAAAATGAGGGTATTTAAGTACGCTGCTCTAAACATTGATTATAAACACATGCACTGAATATACATTTATTCTAAATAAAATTTGAAATTACAATGAAATCAGTTGTAAGAGTATTCTCAAATACCGCAGGTAAAGGGTCTACTTTATGAACCCTGAGAAAATATCATTGGTGTAACATTCATATATACACGGTTTTACCTACATTTATGGTTTTCGCTATATGCAAATTACAACAAAATTTTGTCACTAACACCAAATCCCAACTTGTACGAATACGGCCTGTCTACCTTACATGCAAGGATTTGATGTTTAGAATGTAATGTGGAAAAATAATAGCTCCGATCGGCCACTTTTCGAAGAAAGGAAGGCACGTATCAATAATGATTAGAAGGAAGAAATACACATTATTGTTGACACACCTAAGTCAGTATCCGGAACAATAACCCTGGCTTGGCATCGTCGATAACTGGTGTTGACGAAAAATTAATTAAAAATGTTAGTATCATCCATTCAATCATGGCCTGTGGATATGCTATTAACGCAGAGTCATTTAAAAAAAAACTTACTGAGGAAACATTTATTCTTTTCGTGAAATTGTATGCTTGGTTCTATATGACTTCAAGCATACAAAAAATATTAGTGCATGGAGCTGATATAATTAAATGTGCAGCTTTGCCCATAGGAATGTTGTCCGAAGAAGCCATGGAATCCAGAAATAAGGACATTCGGAACTACTGTACACCAGAAAAATTAGTCGTGTGGAAATAATCAGGGATCTTTTCAATAGGTTGATATTTTCTTCTGATCCAATAATATCAAGTTTGTCTCGTAGTACATCCCTTAACCATCGATATAGTGATTAGTATTTAATAAGTAATGCCTAAATTTTATAAAATATATACAGTTTAATTTTTTAGATATATAATATTAACAATAATGATACATATAATAACAATAGTGTTTGCCCTTAACTCACTTTTTACCCTCCAAATGTTTCGGAATTTTTAAAAGAAGCTCCCATTTTAGGAGTACTATTAGTTGCAACGAAAAATGTTGCTTATTAAAAAATGTTTAAAAAGCTTCAAAATAGTAATTTTCAACTAAAAATTTAAGTTTTTTCTAAAAAAATCGCCGATTAACCCACTAATAAAAAAATTGCCAATTTTTTTCATAAAATAATTAAAATTGTCCATCTAAATCTATTCGTATCCAAAATATCGATAAACATACAGTAAAACATCTACTTTTATTTTCTGCGCGCTAGATCTGCATTTTTTCCCACTGTGCTTTGCATTGGAACAATGCCCTATGTTTCATAATGCCACAGTACAAATATTTACGTTGAATACTACTCCAAAATAAAATGTAAAAAAAATCGCTCCTCAAAACAAGACTGCGGAACGAACCTAATTTCCTGCCAATATCTCGCGAGAAACTAAAGAGACGTTGATAAAATATTTTTAAATGTTTATTTCATATAACAGGAGATTTGATTTTTTATTTTATTGTAAAAGAGAATAAAAACGACTTACTCTCTGAAACATAAAGTTGACGATCCAACATTTAAACCTACATTTAAAATCGATAATGCAATTGAGAATTGAGTATCCAATAACAAAGACAAAAATTAGATTCAATGAATTAAATTTAATAATCACACACAATTTTCGAAAATAATTGCCTTTGATTTCAACAGTTTTTCATGCTTTTGTTAACCGAAGACGCAAAAAAACATCATACAAAAATTATATATTTTTGAGTTAATTCGCATTCTTGTACTTTGTTCGCTCGCCTATTTGACTAAAATGAAATAAATTTTCTGCAAAAGAAATACTACAATTTATATGAAATAATGTTATGTTTCGTTCGTTCTGTTTTTACTAACCATTTGTTTTATATGTTCTGCTTTTTTCTCTCAATAGGATTATCATTCTATGGATCTACAGGTATACATTTTAACACGTACTTCTTGTTGTTGTTACATTATCATTTACACTGTTTATGTGCACACTTACAGAACCACATGATGATATACCCGGCATTGGGCAATATGATGATTTTCATACAATAGACTGGCAACGCGATATAGCACGAGATCGCATGCGACATCGTTATATTGTTAAGAAACGTCAAGATTCCTTGTGGGATTTAGTGAAAGGAGCCCATGACGCATGGTCGGGATGGTTGTGCGTTCTGTTAGTGGGAATTGCTGCCGGTTGTGTAGCCGGCATGGTTGACATTGGAGCTAGTTGGATGTCAGACTTGAAGCATGGGATATGCCCACAAGCCTTTTGGTTTAATCGTGAGCAGTGTTGTTGGCCCTCAAAGCAGTCGGTGTTCGAAGAAGGAAACTGTTCAACTGTAAGTTTTTAGTCATTGTAGAATCTGAGAATTTCTAAAATAATTTAATTTCAGTGGAAAACCTGGCCACAAGTTTTTGGTTTAAGTAGAGAAGGAACTGGAGCTTACATTGTGTCGTACATTTGGTATGTTCTCTGGGCCCTACTATTTGCTGCACTCAGTGCTTCATTGGTTCGAATGTTTGCTCCCTATGCCTGTGGATCTGGTATACCTGAAATAAAAACAATTCTGTCTGGTTTTATTATAAGAGGCTACTTGGGAAAATGGACCCTGCTTATAAAATCGGTGGGTCTCATGCTTTCGGTATCAGCCGGTTTAACTTTGGGCAAAGAGGGTCCCATGGTTCACATTGCCAGTTGTATAGGAAACATCTTTTCACATTTGTTCCCCAAATACGGTCGCAATGAGGCAAAAAAGCGAGAAATTTTATCAGCAGCTGCAGCAGCAGGCGTTTCTGTTGCCTTTGGAGCACCCATTGGAGGCGTACTGTTTTCCTTGGAGGAAGTCTCCTATTATTTCCCCCTGAAGACATTGTGGCGTTCGTTTTTCTGCGCCTTGATAGCTGCTTTCGTTTTGAGATCCCTCACACCATTTGGCAACGAACATTCAGTTCTATTCTTTGTCGAATATAATCAACCATGGATTTTCTTTGAATTAATACCCTTTGTGTTTCTGGGTATTATGGGGGTAGGTAAATCCAGTCTAAAAATTGTTATTTTTGTTTAACTCATGGCTTCCGCTTGATTTACAGGGTATAATTGGCACACTTTTCATAAAGGCCAATTTGTGGTGGTGTCGTTTTAGAAAATTTAGCAAATTGGGACAATATCCAGTAATGGAAGTTCTAGTTGTTACTCTAGTCACTGGCATAATTTGTTATCCGAATCCGTTCACCCGCATGAACATGAATGAACTAATATATCTTCTCTTTAGTCAATGTTCGCCAGGAGATGTATCAAATCCTCTGTGGTAAATATAAATGTTTTATTCAGAATTAGGGATTAGCGTAACAATCCTAATGCTATTTAATTCACAGCGATTACACACGCATGAACATAACAAGCGGAGCATCTTCGTCGATAGAGGTAACACAGTTGGGTCCTGGTGTCTATCGGGCAATTGGTCTTTTGATATTGACATTCTTCTTGAAGTTGGCTTTAACCGTTTTTACTTTTGGTATGAAAGTACCTGCCGGTCTTTTTATACCATCACTCCTGCTTGGAGCCATTATGGGCAGAATTGTTGGTATTGGTAAGTTCAGTGTGATTTTAGTTTTTCGGGTTTTTAATATTTTACATCGAATTTCGATTTTATACAGCCGTAGAACAATTTGCATATAGTTATCCGAATGTGTGGTTTTTCACCGGAGAATGTGTACAAGGCAATAATCTCATAACACCTGGCTTATATGCAATGGTAGGAGCTGCAGCTACACTGGGCGGTGTAACCCGCATGACGGTATCCTTAGTAGTTATAATGTTCGAATTGACCGGCGGTGTGGGTTATATAGTACCATTAATGGCAGCAGCCATGGCTTCAAAGTGGGTGGGCGACGCATTGGGAAGACAGGTAATTCAACACAACATCCAATATTTTAAATGATTGTTAAACGAATATAATTTATTTTAGGGTATATATGATGCTCATATTGCTCTGAACGGGTATCCATTCCTAGACAGCAAGGAAGAGTTTGCACATACAACGCTAGCTGCGGACGTAATGCAACCCAAGTAATTAACTTTTAATTTCTTCCAAACATGTCCATATATTCATTAAGGTCTTTACAGGCGAAATGAAACGTTGAATGTTATAACACAGGATTCTATGACCGTGGACGACATTGAAACACTGTTGAAGGAAACGGAACACAACGGCTATCCAGTAGTGGTGTCTAGAGAGAACCAATACCTGGTTGGTTTTGTATTGCGCAGAGATCTTAACCTGGCCTTAGGTAAGCTCGTTCCACTAGTTTTGTGTTTATAAACATCAACATTTTTTGGATTGATTGTAATTAAACAAAATTTGATGACATTTACAGGAAATGCAAAACGTTTCTTAGAAGGTATAAATGGACAGTCGGTAGTGTTGTTTACATCGACAGCACCTGCACAAAACTTGGGACCACCACCATTAAAATTGAAGAAGATTCTTGACATGGCACCAATTACCGTCACCGATCAGACGCCCATGGAGACTGTTGTTGATATGTTTAGAAAATTAGGTTTAAGGCAAACTCTGGTCACTCACAATGGGTAAGTCAATTCATATACATCATATTCCCACCACACTGGCGTTCTAATATTACATTCCTTTTTATTTTTATTTAAGACGCCTGTTGGGAGTTATAACAAAAAAGGATGTATTGCGGCACGTGAAGCAAATGGATAATGAGGACCCGAACACTGTTTTATTTAATTAAATCGGCAGGCATACAAAATTTAATATTATATTAATCAAATTTAGGAAAAGCATGTGAAAGCACTTCATTCAGTCATGTCATTTTTTGCCTTTTAGAGGAATTAAGGTAGCGAAAGCCAATCAAATTCAGTGTATCGTCGTGGCGGTCTATAATTGAAATGCAAAATAAAAGTACTAAACGATGTATTGTTAGACAACATAACTTTATTCCTGTTGTTTTAGCGACAGCAGATGGCACGAATGATACACGTGTGATAGAGATTTGTGACGTGAATAGTTTATTTCAGATATGAATGAATATACTATGGTGTATGTTTAGATCGAATGTGATCATAGACGCTACACACATTCTTCTCTCTCCGTTGTTACAATATTAACTGTATATCCTTTGGCGTCACTACACTCAGTGCCAGTCACAATTCCACAATAATTCGATAAATGCTCACTTCTTATCACTTCACATTGAAAAAACTCATCAAATACATAAACTATATACCACATGTATGTGCAGGCCCTTCCCTTTCGGTATTATATAGCATAAAATTGTATACAATAGCAAAAATTCGTATTCTCATAGTTAACTTTAACAAATCGTTTCTTAATAGCTCCTTCGATGTATGAAAGGTGGACAGACCTTTGATAGTGTATGTGATGATGTTTGTTGTTGATATTTAATATTCCCCTTTTATTCGAATACAGGAAATGCTCCTTTATTCGATTTTTTTTCTTTTGTATCTTCTTCAACATATATTTATTTTTACTCTTCCATTATGTTTGATTATTTTTTATTATAATTGTATATTATTTTTACATTTGGTAAAATATAAATCAATCGTGTATAAGTGCAAAGTATATATACATATTATTAGGCATAATAATTTAGTTTGTTTTTGTATATAGTTAATTATTTAAACAATCATTACAAATTTTATTCGATAAATAAAGATACATTTAAAAAAGAGAAACAAAATAATTTTTTTCTTAAATTTCTAAGGCAAATATTTGAAATTCTTTCTCGTAAAGACCGGTAATAATCCAGCAGCTGAAAAGTAATTACGTTATTGAACAAAAATTATTGGTAAATTTATTTAAAATCTCTTACCCATTGTCACTTGATTTTATGAAATTTCCTTTGCCTCGTAAGTCTCCCTTAATCGTTGCATGAACACCATCAAATAATCTGTAAAAGTACAAGTTGAAAGTTGTGTAGCACGGCCTTAGAGGGGAAGTTAAATATGGCAGCGTAAACACTAACGACATAGACAGAAATGTCAATAATTTTATGGATATAATTGTAAAGTCATTCGAAGAACGTTGTCCACTTCGAGGAAGGAAATCGAACGCAAAGGTGTGGATGACTGGGGGAGATTCGGAATAAAGGAAAACAGATCTGAAGACTTTACAACAGAGCTAACCAGAAGAAATCTACAGAATACTGGGCCAACATCCACGCTAAGCGGAAAGAATACAACAAAATGAAACAACGCTAATCGAAACTCCTGGCAAATTTTCTGTGATCAGGTATATAGCGTAAATGACGTCTATCAAAACCCATGGTAGATAGAGACGACTCCTTATTCCCACCAAACACATCGACATCTGATTAAGTAACGGTGCTAATGGAGGAAAAATACCAACAACCTAAGATTGATGCGCGATGTATTGAAGAAGTTTTCATAATTCAAAGTGGACTACATAGCACTATAATTACCAGTAATCTTTAACGCATGGCTACGGTTTGAGTGCACTTTCAAAGAATATTTTATTTGAGCAGAATATGTCGATTTATGCATGTCCTTCTGTCTATCGAAGCCACGTTAGAACTTTGAAATTTTGTACATACGTTATTATTACTCCTACGATAGTTGGTATTGAAAATGTCCACGTTTATGTATAGCCCCTATATTAGGTTTTTTGGAACGTTTTTCAACCGAATTGGCTGTATGTTGGGTTCTCATAGGGTAATACCAAAAATTATCAATATTGGTCCATATTTAGGATGTGGGTACATAACGGTTTCTTCCAAATTTCTGTATTTTGGAGAATATGGGTAGCTGGGTAGCGAATTAGCTGTAGTTTGTTATTTTGAATTCACATTAGGTAAACTTGTTCGTACCAAAAATGATCAATGTTGGTTCAATTTTTACTGAATATAAAAGAACCTCAATATTTTAGGTATTTTCGGCTCAATTTTTGGTATTTTGAATTATCATTGCATAGCACATATTTTATGACATAACCCGCCATATATATAAAATCCCAGCTTGATTTTGGGAGAAAGCCTGACATAACATTCATTGTTCTCTATTTTTAGTAATATGTTTACAGACGTATACTGTAGAAAGAATAATAAATATGGGGTTATAATTATATTCAAAAATAATTACCTGTAACAGTCAAGAGATCCATCATCGCCAGGCGCAAAGACCATATTGCCATCATGAGAACACGCAAGAATATTTGTGAAAGGTAGTGGTATTTTAGCTATAACTGTGTCAGTTTCCTGAAATAAATTTAAAAAGAAAACATGCATGAATGGTGTTTTCCCTTAATCAGTAGCGTTGCCGTTATTTGGGAAACTCTTCAATCACTATTCCAAAAAATCGACTTTTGTCCCAAAAATTGCATTTTGAGTCGTAAATTCAGTTGTTTTTTATTCCGTCACAATTTTATTATTTTTGTACACAAAATTATTAACTGACAACTTTCAAAATGAATATTATTCACCAGATTGATAGGGGATCATTTTCAAAATCAAAACTATTTTGATTTTCTTCATGCATTGTGTGTGTCACACATACATAAATAAACTTTCAAAAAATAACTCATACTATGATAAATGCTGTACGGCATGATGTATAGTGTATGGGGCCCTTTATGAATAAACCTTGGTTAGCCGCATCGAATATCATGTTACAAGGAATGATGCTGTCTCATAGCGATCGGCGCGATATTTTAAAGTGCTATAATATTAATATTAGACAATATCAATGTAAATATTTAAGTCTCCGTCTGTTTATTAATGATAGCCTCCGAACAATCTGTGATTGAATGCTCCAAAAATAGAGCATATGATTAAAGTAGATACATTAAAGTACATCAACGACGTTTTAAGTAAGTAAAAAAATTTTATATTCTGGCAGGTTCTGGACGGGGACAATTTGTAAGCGAATTAATGTTTTCTACTTAATCTTATTTTTGCCATTATATGTGTACTTACATCTCTGGAATTTCGTAAGTCGTGAAAATAAACTTCGCCACTCAGATCACAGCTTATCACAATGCTATGACCATTTGTTCGTGTCTTTAACAATGATGATGTCATAAATAGATGTTTCTTCAATGGAATTATGTCCACATGAAACTTCATTATAGTCGCAGAACTGGAAATCCAACAACGATAAATGGATCCATCATCACAGCCAACAACAAAATCATTTCCACTTAAAGCCAGTAAACACGAAATGGATGCTTCCTTTGAGCCACTCGATGGTGCTGGTTTAATAAAATATCTGAGACAACATTGGAAATTATGATCTTAACTTTGAAATTTAACTTTTCGTATTGAAGACTTACTCTGCTTCTGATATTAATTCAGTACCCAAACCCCATTGTACCACGTAACCGTTACTGTGCGCTGTTAGTAGAGTTTGTTCGCTAGACCAATCCATTGCAAGGGCATACCCATGTATTGATGTTGCATTGAACAATTCAGTTATGGCCACTGATTTGATTTTTTGATCACAGTTCCAAATGTAAATGTCACCATCCATAGTGGAGCCGGCAAAGGTGCATTTGTTAAACGAATTTGTACACAGACTGCGCAAGCAGGCCTTAACGGATACACGCTTAACTTCTGTCCAGACAATAAAATTAGAGGTAAGTTCGCGCATTGGGACATACACCAAAAAGTATTGGTCGACGTGTTCGCACCAATCATCGTCATGAGGTGATATTGTACTGATGACTAAAATGGGAGCATTGTTGGTATGTACCGCCAACCAAATTCCAATTCCCTGCGAGTTTTCGGATGTTTCCAACTGAAGCCTCTGATAAGGCTGTATTTCAGGAAATTCAACAACAGCTGTGGCATTGGAATTGAAGTCTGGTGTACAGCCTTTGAGTAGTTCCTTTTCGACAGTTGGAAGTATTTGACGTAACCAAATGGCCAGTTTCCGTTCATCGATATTTTTTAGGAATTCCTTATTTGCGTAGGTTTGTGTTTCCTTACTAAATGTCGGATGCGTTTCGGTGGACGTATCGATTTTCGGAGGTAGGGGATCGGTTCCCGTATTTTTATCCATTAACTTCATTTGCTTTTCATCGTCATGTGTTGCTCTGAATTCAATAACCGGTGACGAGTATTCGGACAAATCGTCCATTCTGCGGAGTTGTCCTATTTCAATTGAACATTATCCTGGTATTACATTAAAACGGATATGGTATTTTATTCTATTGTCATGGTTACCAATTTAAGGGTAGTAATTTGTATTAGTATTGGACAGGTTAGGCATAGTTTAAATTAAATATCGGCTGACAAGAGTTCACCTGACCTACCAACAACCCCTGTTTATGTGAACAAATAATCTTTGGTTAAAAACAAATATGAATGATATAGCTGTGTCTAGTTACTTCTCCAGAAAAATTTACTCAGTAAGTTATTTTTCAGAGAGTAAGGCGTTATATTTTCTTTTGCAATAATACTAAGAAAAGTAAACAGGCAGCATCCAGTATGATTTTGCAAAATATTACGGAATTAGCTAAAATGCAAAAAGGCGTAACTGAGAAAAAATTGAAAATTGACTTTTTGAATGTCAACACATGTATACAATACAATTTTTTGTTAGTTGCGCCTTTTTGAATTTTAGCTAACGATATAAATAATTAATTTCTAATTTAATGAAACTTTGCATTACTTACGAACTTTGTCTTGATTTAGATTAGGCGAGTTTACTGGCGGCAATTCTTGTCGTTCTATTTTGAACTTGCTTCATGCGTCTATACAAGGCAATTCGGTATCCAAAATATTTTTCTATTTGTTGTTTTTTCACATTTAAATATATGTATATAAAATGTCAACAAATACGAAATACACAAAACGAATTGCCAGAAAATTGTCGGTACAAGCAATTTTTTTTCATTTGTATTCCCCTTGCCCCTCTCTCCTACAAAGACTTGCCGCAAGTAAACTCGCCTAATCTAAATCATGACTTTCTTTGCAAATTAAACTTTGCAAATTAAACAAATGTTTTGAATAATTTTTGTGTTTGGTCATAAAACAGCTGATCCGAAATTGGCTGAGTTTGCAAAATCTTACTGAATAAAATTCTTTCAGTAAACTCCAGTAAGTTCGTTGTTGTTCAACTGTCAAACTTGCTCTCTCACTTGACTCTCTTTTACTGGATTTTTGGGTAAACAGACAACATTTAGCAACATTTGGTAACAATTGTTACCAAATATCGAGTAAACAGACACAGGTTATAAATGATTCGAATTCGTTCGTTCCTATGGTCTGTTCCCGTGCTTCAAGAATCTATTATTTTTTACTACGATATCAAATTTTCTTCTACTCTTCTACTTTTGCCAGTTTTCCAACTTTTTATTAAAACGCGTTACTGTACGCATAAAACTAGTAAAACGTTCAAACAAATTTGAGAGAGCCCAAATTATGATGCCTTTCTCTTTGTTATTTTCTTACTTCCGAAATTTGGCCGTGTAAAAATGGTAACCAAGAATGGCTGTTGCGTTGATTTTGTCAAATAATTTTGAAAAATTTACTAGCTTTTCGTTCCAGAACTTTTCGAATTACTTATATACTCACCAGAGATCCTATTTTATTTGTCATAATTATATCACAATGCTATGACCATTTGTTCGTGTCTTTAACAATGATGATGTCATAAATAGATGTTTCTTCAATGGAATTATGTCCACATGAAACTTCATTATAGTCGCAGAACTGGAAATCCAACAACGATAAATGGATCCATCATCACAGCCAACAACAAAATCATTTCCACTTAAAGCCAGTAAACACGAAATGGATGCTTCCTTTGAGCCACTCGATGGTGCTGGTTTAATAAAATATCTGAGACAACATTGGAAATTATGATCTTAACTTTGAAATTTAACTTTTCGTATTGAAGACTTACTCTGCTTCTGATATTAATTCAGTACCCAAACCCCATTGTACCACGTAACCGTTACTGTGCGCTGTTAGTAGAGTTTGTTCGCTAGACCAATCCATTGCAAGGGCATACCCATGTATTGATGTTGCATTGAACAATTCAGTTATGGCCACTGATTTGATTTTTTGATCACAGTTCCAAATGTAAATGTCACCATCCATAGTGGAGCCGGCAAAGGTGCATTTGTTAAACGAATTTGTACACAGACTGCGCAAGCAGGCCTTAACGGATACACGCTTAACTTCTGTCCAGACAATAAAATTAGAGGTAAGTTCGCGCATTGGGACATACACCAAAAAGTATTGGTCGACGTGTTCGCACCAATCATCGTCATGAGGTGATATTGTACTGATGACTAAAATGGGAGCATTGTTGGTATGTACCGCCAACCAAATTCCAATTCCCTGCGAGTTTTCGGATGTTTCCAACTGAAGCCTCTGATAAGGCTGTATTTCAGGAAATTCAACAACAGCTGTGGCATTGGAATTGAAGTCTGGTGTACAGCCTTTGAGTAGTTCCTTTTCGACAGTTGGAAGTATTTGACGTAACCAAATGGCCAGTTTCCGTTCATCGATATTTTTTAGGAATTCCTTATTTGCGTAGGTTTGTGTTTCCTTACTAAATGTCGGATGCGTTTCGGTGGACGTATCGATTTTCGGAGGTAGGGGATCGGTTCCCGTATTTTTATCCATTAACTTCATTTGCTTTTCATCGTCATGTGTTGCTCTGAATTCAATAACCGGTGACGAGTATTCGGACAAATCGTCCATTCTGCGGAGTTGTCCTATTTCAATTGAACATTATCCTGGTATTACATTAAAACGGATATGGTATTTTATTCTATTGTCATGGTTACCAATTTAAGGGTAGTAATTTGGATTAGTATTGGACAGGTTAGGCATAGTTTAAATTAAATATCTGCTGACAAGAGTTCACCTGACCTACCAACAACCCCTGTTTATGTGAACAAATAATCTTTGGTTAAAAACAAATATGAATGATATAGCTGTGTCTAGTTACTTCTCCACAAAAATTTACTCAGTAAGTTATTTTTCAGAGAGTAAGGCGTTATATTTTCTTTTGCAATAATACTAAGAAAAGTAAACAGGCAGCATCCAGTATGATTTTGCAAAATATTACGGAATTAGCTAAAATGCAAAAAGGCGTAATTGAGAAAAAATTGAAAATTGACTTTTTGAATGTCAACACATGTATACAATACAATTTTTTGTTAGTTGCGCCTTTTTGAATTTTAGCTAACGATATAAATAATTAATTTCTAATTTAATGAAACTTTGCATTACTTACGAACTTTGTCTTGATTTAGATTAGGCGAGTTTACTGGCGGCAATTCTTGTCGTTCTATTTTGAACTTGCTTCATGCGTCTATACAAGGCAATTCGGTATCCAAAATATTTTTCTATTTGTTGTTTTTTCACATTTAAATATATGTATATAAAATGTCAACAAATACGAAATACACAAAACGAATTGCCAGAAAATTGTCGGTACAAGCAATTTTTATACCCTTCACCACACTGTGGTACAGGGTATTATGTCTTTGTGCATATGTTTGTAACAGGCAAAAATAATCGAGATAGACACATGGTTCCTTTTGAGAATATGCATAGAATCACTTTCTAAGTCGATTTATGCATGTCCGTCCGTCCGTCCGTCCGTCTGTCCGTCTGTCCGTCTGTCTGTCCATGTTAAATTGTAAACAAAGTACAGGCCGCATTTATTATCCGAATTGGATGAAAATTGGTATAGGTCACTTATTCGGCCCAAGGACGAACCCTATTGAAATTGGGAAAAATCGGTTCAGATTTAGATATAGCTCCCATATATATATTTAACCGATTTAATGTAAACGATCCCTATATATCTTTCGATTTGCACGAAATTTGGTACAGCCTAATCATTTAGGTCTAGAATGATGTCTGCCAATTTTCGTGAAAATCGGTCCAGATTTAGATATAGCTCCCATATATAGTTTCGTCCGATTTCATGTAAATGGTGCACCAAAATCCCTATATATCCTTCGATTTGCACCAAATTTGGCATAACGTACTGAATTGAGCCTAGAATTATGTCTGCCAAGTTTCGTGAAAATCGGTCCAGATTTATATATAGCTCCCATATATATTTTCGTCCGATTTCATGTAAATGGTGCACCAAAGTCCCTATATATCCTTCGATTTGCACCAAATTTGGCATAACGTACTGAATTGAGCCTAGAATTATGTTTGCCAAGTTTCGTGAAAATCGGTCCAGATTTATATATAGCTCCCATATATAGTTTCGTCCGATTTCATGTAACTGGTGCACCAAAGTCGCTATATACCTTTCGATTTCCACGAAATTTGGCATAACGTACTGAGTTGAGCCTAGAGTCATGTCTGCCAAGTTTTGAGAAAATCGGTTCAGATTTAGATATACCTCCCATATATAGTTTCGTCCGATTTAATGTAAATGGTGCCCCAAAGTCCCTATATATTTTTCGATTTGCACGAAATTTGGCATAACCTACTGAATTAAGCCTAGAGTTATATCTGCCAAGTTTCGAGAAAATCGGTCCAGATTTCTATATAGCTCCCATATATAGTTTCGTCCGATTTCATGTAACTGGTGCACCAAAGTCGCTATATACCTTTCGATTTGCACGAAATTTGGCATAACGTACTGAGTTGAGCCTAGAGTCATGTCTGCCAAGTTTTGAGAAAATCGGTTCAGATTTAGATATACCTCCCATATATAGTTTCGTCCGATTTAATGTAAATGGTGCACCAAAGTCCCTATATATCCTTCGATATGCAAGAGATTTAGCATAACGTACTGAATTAAGCATAGAGTGATGTCTGCCAAGTTTCAAGAAAATCGGTCCAGATTTATATATAGCTCCCATATATAGTTTCGTCCGACTTCATGTAAATGGTGCACCAAAGTCCCTATATATCCTTCGATTTGCAAGAGATTTGCCATAACGTACTGAAATGAGCCTAGAGTGATATCTGCCAAGTTTCGAGAAAATCGGTCCAGATTTCTATATAGCTCCCATATATAGTTTCGTCCGATTTCATGTAAATGGTGCACCAAAGTCGCTATATACCTTTCGATTTGCACGAAATGTGGCATAACGTACTGAATTGAGCCTAGAGTTATGTCTGTTTTTTTCGTGAAAATCGGTCCAGATTTATATATAGCTCCCTTTTATTATAGATTGATTTTAAGTAATTGACGCACCAAGGAACCAATAGGCTGATAGGAACAAAACTTTCTGAAATTAGAACAACCTATCCTGTGAACAACCTAACGCTTAATATTTGGATAGAGCTTCCATATATATTTTCCCCCGGTTTCAAGTAAATTGGGCATCAAACTCCTCATGTTAGTCAGATTGACATCAAATTTTGCACAACTTACAAAATTTAGCATAGAATTACGTAGTTGCGTTTTCTAGAAGTACAGACATAGCCCAACGGATGACCTATTTATATTTGTTTGAAGTCGATTTACATACTTTATGGATATATCTAGGTAGATTCACATTTAAATAAATATCAACTATTTTAGTTCATCCAATTTGATTTTAATGGTCCTGTTGAATACACCCAAAGTGGTGAAGGGTATCATAAAGTCGGCCCCGTCCGACTTTACTACTTTCCTTACTGGTTTTTTATTTGTATTCCCCTTGCCCCTCTCTCCTACAAAGACTTGCCGCAAGTAAACTCGCCTAATCTAAATCATGACTTTCTTTCATTTTCTGTAATTTTTATACAACTTAACTTGAAATTGAACTTTGCAAATTAAACAAATGTTTTGAATAATTTTTGTGTTTGGTCATAAAACAGCTGATCCGAAATTGGCTGAGTTTGCAAAATCTTACTGAATAAAATTCTTTCAGTAAACTCCAGTAAGTTCGTTGTTGTTCAACTGTCAAACTTGCTCTCTCACTTGACTCTCTTTTACTGGATTTTTGGGTAAACAGACAACATTTAGCAACATTTGGTAACAATTGTTACCAAATATTCCCTAAATGATTCGAATTCGTTCGTTCCTATGGTCTGTTCCCGTGCTTCAAGAATCTATTATTTTTTACTACGATATCAAATTTTCTTCTACTCTTCTACTTTTGCCAGTTTTCCAACTTTTTATTAAAACGCGTTACTGTACGCATAAAACTAGTAAAACGTTCAAACAAATTTGAGAGAGCCCAAATTATGATGCCTTTCTCTTTGTTATTTTCTTACTTCCGAAATTTGGCCGTGTAAAAATGGTAACCAAGAATGGCTGTTGCGTTGATTTTGTCAAATAATTTTGAAAAATTTACTAGCTTTTCGTTCCAGAACTTTTCGAATTACTTATATACTCACCAGAGATCCTATTTTATTTGTCATAATTTTCCATCAAATCAAAATACATATTTTGTGTGTGTGTGTAATGTTTTGAATACTATGTCAAATAAATTCAAAATATATTGAAATAAAAATTATGTTTTTAACATGTTCGTCTGGAAGTTATTACTTTGTTATGGATGAAACAAACATTTGATGGTATTCCCTACTGGATTTTGGGAAGAAATCTTAACCTTTCATGAATTTTTCGTGTTTCTACTTTTGTAAACACAAATACTTGTTGCGTATAATTATTTTATTTTTGGCAGAAGAAGCCACACCTGCATAGTTCCTTTTTTGTAATTCACCTCAAGCTGCCCTACATTGTATTATTGTACCATGGTTACTAATTACAAATGTGAAGTCAGATTTTGAAAATCAAAAAAACAAAAAAAAAAAAACAAATAACAGCGAAGTTGGTTAAAAGTGAGGTCATCAGCATGCTTTGTTAGTAAAAGTCAATTTTAATTTTTTTATTAATTTTTTAAAGGCAATTTTCAATTACTAATTTTATATTATCGACAATAACTCTTAGGTTTATGAACAATTGCAGACGATCGCAAAATATTGGACGGAGAACAGCTATAACCATTCAGAACCTAGTGCCAAGGTTCTGAAACTCGATTTTTTTAAAAAAATATATATATATATATTTATGAGTTTTATGTACGATTTTTTTATTTTTATCTTCAACTTACTGATAATTTTCAGTTTCGTTTTAATCGGCAGCCCCTTCTGTTTAATTGACCGTTGTTTCATGTTATTACTTTGACGCATGTCAATTTTATATGACAATTTGCAAAGATAAATTATATTCACAAAAATATGAAATTTTGACTTTGACCTCATGTCATTTGTAAACCGTTACCCAAGATTTAATAAAAGTTTTACTGGTGTAAAGCTCAAAATTCCCAAATTTCAAATATAGACTGTGTGCACTATGGGCTCACAGTCTATGAAATCTTACTAATCCGATTACTGACACCAATCCGGATAGTAATTTTTTCCGCATATCGAGGTTTGTTTCATGTTATTACTTTGACGCATGTCAATTTTATATGACAATTTGCAAAGATAAATTATATTCACAAAAATATGAAATTTTGACTTTGACCTCATGTCATTTGTAAACCGTTACCCAAGATTTAAAAAAAGTTTTACTGGTGTAAAGCTCAAAATTCCCAAATTTCAAATATAGACTGTGTGCACTATGGGCTCACAGTCTATGAAATCTTACTAATCCGATTACTGACACCAATCCGGATAGTAATTTTTTCCGCATATCGAGGTTTTTAAATTGGTTTGAATTTTTAATAATTTAGTGATTTTTTAAATAGTTTAATGGGTCGATTACGGATGGTAACCATAGTTTAGTG